AAGCAAATTGCTTTTGGAAAAACAAAACAAAAAAACCTGCTTATAAAGGACTCAGGAGGATATTAATCCTATCAATATCAACACCAAAAGCTAAGACAATTGAGCGTTGCCTTCCAAATACTAAGCTGAAAAAATCATTTTTATCTTAGAATTCTAGAGTAGCTAATTAAGTGTGAATGAAGAGCACAACATTTTCAGAATTTTCCATCTACTTATCCTTTATCAGGAAGCTACCGCAGAACATGATGAACCAAAATGAGGGAGTAACTCAAGAGAGAAGAAAAGGGATTCAAACCAAAAGAGGAGAAACTATGTACAGTGCCAAGAGAACACCAAGTCTAGATGGGAGTGGAAGAATGGAGGGTTCCCGAGTGATGATTCTAAGAAAAATAAAAATTGATATATTTTATAGGTGTAGCCAAGTAAAAAGTGATATGGAGAGGTTTCAGAGGTGGAAGGGAGAAGAGTTTTGCAAAGAAATTATACAAATGAAAAATTGTTAATTACAAACCAAAAAGCTTAATAAAAAAGGAAAATAATCATACTATATTAATTGGCTTAACAGTGGGCCTCCCTGGTGGCGCAAGGGTTCGGATGCAACCTATGAAGCTATCTGCAGCCACTGCAGCACGAGTTTGATCCCCAGCCAGGGAACAACTCACATGGTGCAGCAGACCTTTTCTGTCTCGCCCGCTGCTCCCCTCAGCAGTGTATTTCAGTAAGTCTGCCTGTTCTGTTCCCCACTCTGTCTCTGGTGAATCCTCTCACTCCCCACACCTCTAGCCTGTAACCAAGATCTTGTATGCATAAATAAATAAATCTTTTTAAAAAAATAATTGGCTTAACAGAGAATAATATTTATCCATGTTTGGCATCCAAGCCACAATGTAACAATTTAAAGTTATAAACTATGTTACACTTTATACTATTTCAACTTGCTGATTTTTTTTTTTTTTTAAAGAATTGGCCACTTTATTTTTTGCGTAGAAAAATTAGGATGCTGGTGAGAAGACAGGGGGTGAGAGGTCTGCTGTGCCATATGTGGGTTAGCTCCCTGGCTGGGGATTGAATTTAGACCATAGCAGTGATAATGCTGAGACTCAAACACTAGGCCACCAAGGAGGCCCACTTGCTGATTTATGTACACGGGAAAGGTTTTTGAGATGCTCAATGATATATAGTAATTAGTACCACAGATGACAGAGGTATCAGTTGTTAACAGTGGGGTTATTCAGTTACATCTATGGGTGGATGTGGTTTCAGTAACTGGAAATCACTAGTGATGCTGCCATTCTAGGTTTTGGTTCTAGCTCTACTTCTAACCATGTAAAATTAGGTAGGTAAGAAATTCTACATCTGAAATTTTCTATAAAATTAGAATGTACCTTCTATACCCTCAGTGTTAATATAATTATCAAATTAGATACTAGATTTTAAAAAGCACTAAAAAGAATTTAAAAGTTGCTTATACTAATAACAATGATTAGCATTAATATAAATATTATGTGAGGAAGGGGAGGCATAATATGTGGCTGATAGGTAAGACAAGGACAACTTGCTTCTTTCTATGCAGAGCAGATGTTTTTAGCTTGTTGATTCATTTGTTTTATATTTGGCTATGTGATGTCCGTATTTTAAAGTTTTGTTTTCAACTAAAAATTATAACTATGTTTAGTTGATTTCCACTTAATAATACTTTTCTAAAAATGCCATCTGTATGTTTTTTTTCCCTCTTTACGGTAATAGTTTTTTGAGTCTTAATTATACTGAGAAGCAAATTATGAATTCATTCCTCAAAAAAAAAAAAAAAGTGTGCATTTATGGGGCACAAGTACTTATAAACACACAACAATAAATCAAATTTTCAAACAGATTCCATAGGTTAATGAACAAATCTGGGAAGGGATATGAATTTTATACATAATCTTTTAAATTATTTTTTACATCCTTTTTATTTATGTCTATGTTGATTTCTACTATCATCCCTAAAATGGACACTCAGTCAGTTAATAATGTTCTTAGAAATTTTCCCCAAAGAATAAGTCATCTATTTTGTAACATTAGATACAGGATGATATGCAGTTTGTGCTCAGGTGTAAAAGGCCATAGCCAATTACACTGTAGCTTGCCTAAGCTCAGAATTTAGTTGTCGTGTATTCTAGTCGTTTATCGTGACCATTTTGAGGATACCCTTTAGGGTTAATTTGACTGAAGGAAAGGCTAGTTGACTTGCAGAAAAATCTGGATTGCTAAATATTATTTAAACAGAACAATCTACTATTGCCAAGTATAATGCTACATATTGCTTAGTAGTTTAAAGTGTTAAAGGATGTGATATAATTAGTATATTCACTCATGAACCATTTTAGCAGCCTGATCACTATGGGACAGAAAATGAGGATGAAATCACAATGTTGCTTTTAGGGAAAAAAATTGACCCTATAGAAATAACTATGTTACAAGATTTTATAAGAGAGCTATGAATCTTTGTATGATATTCAGAGAAAAGATAATTTTAGATGAGGTAAATAGGAGTCTTGTTTCTTTCTGAAGGCACCTGAAAAATGCAGCTTTTTTTTTTAAATGTTGAAGAATAGGTAGACTCTATATTTCTGCATATGATTACTTATTTATATATGTCTCATTTACAATTTCCTGTGAGGAAAAATGACTTCTTGCAATTGACTTATGCTACTTTTTTTTTAAAGATTTATTTATTTATGATATAAGAACTGGGGTACAGGCCAGAGGTGCAGGGGGTGAGAGGATTCACCAGAGACAGAGCGGGGAGCAGAACAGGCAGATCTACTGAAATATACTGCTGAGGGGAGCAGTGGGCAAGACAGGAGAGGTCTGCTGTGCCATGTGTGTTAGCTCCCTGGCCAGGGATCAAACTATGCAGCAGTGGCTGCCGACAGCTTCATAGTGCTGCTACTTAACCCCTTGAACCACCAGGGAGGCCTCTTTAAAAAATTTTTTTTTTAATAGGAGAGAATTTTATTTTAATTAAGTGTCATCTAATACTTCGAGGATTTCCATTAAACACGATTAAACATGTCAAAGAGAGAAAGTCATGTTGTCAAAACACCCACTTTAACACATCCAAACATCTCCAATCCAACCTTTTGCTGATCTACTATACCCCCATTGAAAAAATTTATCCTTCTCTTTTCAAACAAGAGAGAGTAGACAGATGTATGTTGTCCATCTTCACATAGAGACATAGTACACTCTCTGAGCCCAATATACAGATAAAGAAGGGAAAAAAACTTAGAATTTTAAGCACTACTGCACAGGGACTAGCACACTCCAGCTTCCAGCAGAGCTAAGGGAGCAGAAGGCTTTTCTTTTTTTCTCACAGAGAATGGTGGTTTTGATTCCATAAAGTTTTTGCTGAGACAAAAAGTGATAAAAATGAATTTGGGCAGAAAGGTGTAGAGATTCTTTCCCACTGTATTGTGCTTATTTCTTCCCCAAATATGTTGAGAATCATGGTATAAAGGAGAGAAAAGAGACCTCAATAACAGGGTGACTGAGCACAAGAGGGAAAAAGAAAGGACTGAAACTTGCTCTTAGGGATTGAAGAAAATTTAAGAAGGTTGGAATCCGTCCATTTTCCATTAGTCAACTTCTCCTTTATCCCCTCGCTTTCTTCCCCCCTCATCACCATCTTCACCTTCATCCTCATCCCTTTCATCAACAGCTTCTAGTCCTTCATCATCATCATCTTCTTCATCATCCATGCCTGGAACCAAGTGGTACTGTAATGGATTTGGCCAAATACCATTTCTGATGAGCTCTCTTAACTCATCTGCAGCAGAAGGTCGGCCAACCAGATAAAGCAGCTCTGTGGTACCTGGTGCCCTCTCTTCCTGTTGGCTTTATTCTGCATTTGACTTGAATATATTGTCAGATCCTTTTCAGATTTCCATTTCATTACAGTGGATGCTGAAGATGGATCATACTCTCATTCAGATGAAATTCTTTGGACATAACTTTATTTTCAAATAAAAATTTCAAAGAAAAATTTTTATTTTCAAACAAAAATTTCACCAAATAAAAATTTATTCTGTAACCTGATGAAACAGGTTCAAATCTGTCACTTCAACTCTTGTCAAATAATGCAGCGCCTCTTCATTCTCCTGCAGCAGAGCACACACTCGGGGATGGCTGACAATTGTTACCCCAAAAGGTGGGATTTTGGTGATCCACTTCAACTTTCTCTGAAAAAGTGGTTGGCTGAATCTGTTGTCTTTCTGTTTTACTTTCAAAATCTCCTCACTGGCTTGTTCATTAAGTCTGTTTCATTTTGTACTTTATCAGTATGTTCGATTGCTTTTTGATGCTCTTTTTTTCCTCATCTGCTTACCCAGGGAGTTTGACATCATCTCTGGCCTGGCCTCAGCAGGAAGTGTTGGTTTTTCACTTGAAACTGGAGTAGAGATTGGTGTTTGGGGCCCATGCTCTGAGGAAAGCTGCAGAACCAGACCCAAGGGAACCAGACTCTGGAAGAGGCTGAGGACTGTCCTTTCTTAGTCACTTGCCCAAATAATTTTCTCTGAACATGGTAAACTATATTTGCTATTATTTCTAAAAAAATAATTTGGAAGTTCTGCTTCTTTGGGCTCTAGCCTGGTTCACCTATTTGTCCACCTTACTTATTCAATAATGTTCTAGGTAGCACTTATCAACACAAAACAGACACAAACGTTTCAGTTCCTTTACCTCATCAGCAATGTGATCTTATCTCATTTCTGGCAAGGTGTTTTAGTGTAGTGTGAGTTGTTCTGTCAACTCTTTTCTGTACTACTCTATTCTAAAATCAAGATTCTAATCACGTACATATTTTACTTTTCTGAATATTCTATCCCAATCATGTATCATTTTGTTTTTACCATGGCAGTTTTCTTCTTCAGAGTAGCTATTAACAATTTTACCTTAATCATAACCTCTTTAGACATAATTAAAGTGTCCTATTTCTTTTTCCCCATTGTTCTTACCTGTGCAGTCTGTGCATGTTCCAGCATCTCTTCAAATTCCTGATACTCTTCATCATCTGGTTCAGCACCTGAGAGTCGAGCTGCCCTGGCCATGAAATACGGAGGCAGTTCTCCGATTGCTGTACCGATACCCTATGTAAAAAACCAAAATATTCACATGAGATTCTGTTCTCAACACAATGATACTGAACAGATCAAATCTATGTTTCTTTGTCACCAAAACCAAGCTGGTTACACAGAATGTGTTAGTGTACATAATGAGGAGCACCTGAGTTTGCATTCTGACAACACTGACCTATGCAATTCTAGGCAAGAAAATATACATAAAACCCTTAGATTATCCTTCTGCATTTCAGACATTAAAGTTAACGTTCAGTCTCTCACACCTTTATGTAGACTATTTTATCTTTGCCAGTTTTCTGCCTTTCTAATATCCAAATAATTTGGTAATGAGAATTCATTCAGTATAGCTGTAAGATAAATATTTTCTAGGAAACCTTCTGGTATTTAGGATGTTGCTTTAATCCCAATAAAGCTTTTTTTTTTTTTTTTTTTGCGTGTGTATTGTTAAAACTTTTAACAAATTGTGGTCAGGAAGTCCCTTGGGAACTCAACATTAGGATGGATAAATTTTCACCACAGGAAAAATGTTTATTTCCTCAGGACATTGAGTGACTCATGTTTCAGTCACTTTTGGATTCTTGTTTTTGAAGAGAATTTTTTTCCCCCTATCAACTTAGAACATAAGGACGAAAACAAAGGTAAAAGAGTCAGGAACATGGTTTGAACTTAAAAGACCTAAACACAGGATAGGTAATGATGAAAGAAGCACATAATCTCTAGGAAAATGTCTCAACTTTGATCCATCCTTCTTGTCCTGAGTTACAGTGAATGAAAAGGTACTGTTAGTTCTCAGAAGCAACTTTAGGCCTGTTTGCTCTGTCCTATGGCTTTGCCTATAACCACCTTGAAATGAATCCTCAAGGAACATTATCAAATTCAAACATTTTGTGTTCACAGTGCTATAATTTAATGTGTGGAACCAGTGATCTGCAAGTGAAACTACATCTTCCCTATGTGAAGTAAAAGTACTGAAAAAAAGGTATATAAATGTCAAAAGAATAAGACTATGTTTAAAGAACAGAGAGTGGATAGACACATACATGGAAGGATATATGGGAATAAAACACAAATCATAATTTGCTGACAAGAAGTTAATGTTAGTTAACTTTGGAGGATGTTAAGAAATCAACTTACTATTTAAAAATTTGGTAAACGAAGGGAAAAATCAAGTAATTGCCTTCCTTATATACACTATAAATTTAAGGGTAACCAAATTGGTGACAAGGAGTGGTTTCTCCTTATAAAAGTATTCTTATCAAGAGCTAAAGAAAAAAAATTATGTAGCTGGAATACCACTGTTTTTAACACCTAATAAAACAATGGACTTTTACAGATGAAAAGTGATATGCTACAGGAATATCAGAAAACTGATAGCAAAGCGGGGTGGGATATAGGTAAAACAATGTTAGTCAGCAGTTACTACTAGCCAAAGTTGGGTGACAATGTAATGAATTATATAATTCTTTATATTTAAAAAATATTTTTTCCAAATGAAAAGTAGGAAGAAAGTTAATTGCAAGATTTTATTCAAATCATGAACTTCTGTGCAGTGTTGGTGGTATAGTGGTGAGCATAGCTGCCTTTCAAAACATGAACTTCTCTAAAACCTGTTAAGTAACTGTTGGAAGCAATCATAAGATTCAAACTCATGACAAGTTTCCTTAAAGTTAAAAAGGAAGTAAGGGATTGAAACGAAATAAAGAGCTGCATACAGTCATACACTTAGCTGACCATATTCTTAGTTACATTTTAATTCTGTTCTAATACATTTAATTTGGTATTAGCAAGAATGGTGATCACAAATCAAGATTCTATTTGTTATGCAAATATATAAAAAGAATACAGTCGGGCCTCCCTGGTGGCGCAGCGGTTGAGCGCTGGGTTGCGAAGCTGCCCGCAGCCTCTGCAGCGCTGGTTCGATCCCCGGCTGCTCCCCGGCCACCGGAGGAGGGTCCCGCATGGCGCGCAGACCTCTCCTGCCGCCCACTGCTCCCCTCAGCAGTGTACTTCGGTCCTTCTGCCTGCTCTGCTCCCCGCTCTGGCTCTGGTGAATTCTCTCACCCTCCTGCGCTTCTGACTGTACCCAGTGCATGTATAAATAAATAAATAAATAAAATATAAATAAATAAATCTAAAAAAAAAAAAAAAAAAAGAATACAGTCATCCAGGCAGGTTCTCTAAAACACATTATGATCCAGACACAGAGGTTTATTTAGTCAATTATCTCAAATTAAGTACAATTTTATAATTCTTACAAAATCAGAACAGAAGACCTAAAACACTAAAAACTGTCAGTCTAGGTTAATTAAGGAGAAGGAATGACTAGTTTCCTTATTGTAAAAGAAAGACAAATAGTATGTGGTCAAGCAAACATTCAGAAAGTTCTACGAAAAAGCATCTATTATCAATATCTTAACCTGAAGTCTCTGCTTCTTGAATTGGAGAATTTTAATATGTGTGTCAATTTTATTAAAAAATGTTGGACTTTTGGAACTTTTTTTGAATTTTGGGACTTTTTTTAAAAAATATTTATTTATGTATACAAGAACTGGGATACAGACCAGAGGTGTGGAGGGTGAGAGGATTTACCAGAGACAGAGTGGGGAACAGAACAGGCAGAATGACTGAAATACACTGCTAAGGGGAGCAGCGGGCGAGTCAGGAGAGGTCTGCTGCGCCATGTGGGTAGCTCCCTGGCCGGGATTGATCTTGTGCTGCAGAGATGGCGGAGAGCTTCATAGGTTGCATCTTAACCCCTTGCGCCACCAGGGAGGCCTAAATTTTGGGACTTTTAAAGAGCTTTGTCAAGTATATTTTCAAACAAATCAGCAATATTTATTTTTCTAGGTTGGAAGTCATCAATTTAATGGTAAATATCTACAGAGTAGAAATTTTTATATATGTTGACTATTCAGAAATTATGGTAGTTTCTGTGTTATCATTGTGTTAATCTTTTATAAGAAAATAATTTTTCTACTAAATTTCCCATTTACAATGTTTAAAAAATGACTATATCAATTGTTTTCAGATTGCTTTGCAAATAAAAAAGAAAATTTGCTTCCAGTTTCCCTTGTGGTTATTTTAAAAAATGGTCTTAGAAAAGAATGAAGTTTTGGGAAGCAAATATTATTTAAAAATGAACAATGCTGTAAAAAAAATAAAAATAATTTAAAAAAAGAAAAAAAAAAGAAAGTAAGTTTGGATACAAGCTACAAAATGGATGAAACTTGAAAGCATGCTGAATGAAATAACTCAGACCCAGAAAGCCAGATACTGCATGATTCCATTTATATGCATTATCTAGAATAAGCAAATTCACTGAGGCAGAAAGTAAAAAAAGGTTACTAGAGGCTGGAGAGAGGAGAGAACAAGGAGTTAATGTTTAAAGGGTATAGTTTTTAGTTGATGACAAAAATTCTGGAAGTAGATATTGGTAATGGTTACACAACACTGTGAATGTACTTAATGCCAGTAAACTGTGCGTGTTAATCTGGTAAACTATGTGCTATGTAAATTTTACCACAATAAAAATTAAGCACAAAACAAAATCATGAATCTGACATATAAATGAGCTTAAAAGGTTATGCTCTCTGAAAATTATCACACATACTCTTCTCTACCCTGCTGTGCTTCTTCTTCCCTTCTTCCCTCTTGTTATCCTTAACACTCAACTTAAGCATTGCTTCTCCAAGGAAATCTTCCCTGAATCAGAGCAGGGAAAAAATGAGTTATACACTAAATTTCTCCTTTACAGCACTCATCTCCATAGGTACTTATAAATACATTTTTCCTTAATAATTATTTCCCTCACTAGAATGTAAAGCTACAAGAGGGTAGAGACTGGTAAGTTCTGCTCATTCTTGAATCTCTTGTGCTTGGATATTTTATAACTAGAATTGAAATTCATGATGGAAACAAAATCTGTGAAGCCTTGCACTGGTGATCTAATCAAACCAGAGAAGATCAAAACAATGCGAACCATAAAAAGATACTCTACTGGTCCATAATATCAAACAATTCATTTTAACATGTGTTAGAGACCTATATAAATAAGCTAAAACTGAGGTTGATCCTATTCTTTATCTTATAATTGAAGTACCATGTATTTTAATGATTCAATATATTTATAATAGTGAAGTCTTTAAAGATATTTTACTTTGCAAAGTACAAATTGTTAGAATATTTAAAAAAGATATCAGTTTTAAACTCTTGAAATATGATTGCAGAACGGAGGCTACCAGAAGGGTAGGACAGAGTAGGATAGGGTGCGGGGAACAAAGATGGAAGGTACACATTTGTAGAGGTGTGAGTGTTCCAGGCTTAAAACATACTGCTATAAATCAGCATTACCTCAATAAGCATAACATATATGTACACACACGCACAATACATAACATAAATATGTAATTATAATTATCTGTCTTTCACTAATTTCACTAAACATTTTTCAAGGTTTTGTTAATGTAATTATCATAGCTTCCTTGCCTTTCATGGTTGAGCAATATTACATTGTAGGTATATACTACACCCTTTTTATCCATTTATCTGTTAAGGGATTCTTTGGGATGCATTTTCCTAATGACCGATTATAGTGAGCATCTTTCTATGTGATTATAGGCCATTTATCTATCTTATTTATAGAAATGTGTACTCAAGTTCTTTGCCCTTTTTTTAAATTTTTTTATTTATTTATTTATTTATTTTTTTTTTGTGGGAACCTTGCCGGTGGCCGGGGATCGAACCGGCGTTGCAGAGGCTACGGGCAGCCTCGCAATCCAGGGCTCACCCACTGCACCACCAGGGGAGGCCCAAAGATATTTTTTAAAAAAAGATTTTATTTACTTTTGCTTAGAAGAACTAGGGTGTAGGCCAAAGATGAGGGGGGTGAGAAGATTCACCAGAGACAGAGTGGGGAGCAGAATAGGGGGATCTACTGAAATACACTGCTGAAGGGAGCAGCAGGCGAGACATAAGAGGTCTGCTGAGCCATGTGGATTAAATCCATGGACAGGGATCAAACTCGTACTGCAGTAGCATGGGACAGCTTGATAGCACTGAGACTTTAATCCCTGTGCCACCAGGGAGGCCCCTTTTGCCCATTTTTAAATTGGGTTGCTTGTCTCTTCATTGTTGAGTTGCAAGAGCTCTTTGAACATTCTTGACTTAATACCCTTATCAGACATATGATCTATAAACATTTTCTCCCATAATGTGGGTTGTCTTTTCACTCCCTAGGCTGCATTGATGTATAAGAATTTTTATATTGGGCCTCCCTGGTGGCGTAGCCATTGAGCGCCACACTGTGAAGCTGTCCGCAGCCTCTGCAGTGCAGGTTCGATCCTGGCCAGCCAGTGAGGATCCCACATGGCGCAGCAGACCTCTCCTGCCTTGCCCGCTGCTGCCCTCAGCAGTGTATTTTGTCAGTCTGCCTGTTCTGTTCTCCACTCTGTCTCTGGTGAATCTTTTCACCCTCCTGAGCATCTGGCCTGTATCCTGGTTCTTGTATAAATAAACAAATCTTTAAAATAAAGTTTAAAAAAAAATTTTTTTGTATTAGTGAAGTTCAATTTATCTGTTTCTTTCCTCTATTGCCTATGCTTTTGGTGTGCTATTTAAGAAACACTGCTGCATCCAAAATTAAGCAGACAAGCAGACTTGTCTATTTTCTTTTTTTTTTAAGATTTATTTTATTTATTTATGCATATAAGAGCTGGGGTGTAGGCCAGAGGTGGGGTGGTGAGAGGATTCACCAGAGACAGAGTGGGAAGCAGAACAGGCAAAATGACTGAAATACACTGCTGAGGGGAGCAGCAGGTGAGACAGGAGAGGGCTGCTGCGCCATAGGGTTTAGCTCCCTGGTAGGGGATCAAACTTGTGCTACAGTGGCTGTGGATAGCTTCATAGTACTAAGACTTAACCCCTTGTACCATCAGAGAGGCCCAGTCTCTATATTTTCTTCTAAAAGTTTTATGGTTTTTGCTTTTCAGTTTAGGTCTTTAAGGCATCTGGAGTTAATTTTTATATATGGTGTGGGGTTAAGGTCCAACTTCAAAATTTTGGATGTGAGTATTCAGTACTCTTAGTACCCTTTGTTGAAAACAACAGGAACTAATTTAAACACTTGATATATATTAAGTTTTTTACTAACAAAGATAATTCCAGGGAAAAAATATGAAGAACAAACAGTCAATATCTATCAACATTCTTATAATGTGCAAAGCCTAGTGCTGATTGTTAGAAAGGTAAATTTAAGGGACAGTGTGTATTTTTTAGGAGCTTAAAATTTATTTGGGGAAGTAAGTTACTAAGTCAGCCAAGTTAACTAATTTAGGGCATGTTTGGAGAAAGGCCAAATGTGCGGCTACAGACAATACGCACTCTGGAGTTTAGAAGAGGCAGTTATCACTGCCAGTTGGGATGGAAATTTTTCTTTGTTGCCATTAGTGCTAATTCAGCCATGTAAATCATTTTTGAAAGGACAAACAGAAAAATAGAAAACCAAAGTGTATATACATATAGCTCTTTTTGAGCATGTTCCAAGAATCTTCTGTTATTTTAATAATTTTTCATCAAAAGACAAATGTGATCAAATTTATAAAACATATGCAACTAGTACAATGAACTTGTTTCCAGTGTTTATAAATGAGTAGCAGGAAACATGACAATTTTTCCTGTCTTTCATATTCAACAAATTTGATGTATGGCATTTCCCTTATAATTCTTTTAAAAACACAACATAATTGCTAAAACTTAAACATGTCTGAAAACTCTGTCCCTTCTGTGGACACAGTCACTCTGTTCATTTTATTTTTTAAAAGATTTATTTGTTTATACAAGAACTGGGGTACAGACCAGAGGTGTGGGAGGGTGAGAAAATTCACCAGAGACAAAGCGGGGAGCAGAACAAGCAGACAGATCGAAGATACTGCTGAGGGGAGTAGCGGGCAAGGCAGGAGAGGTCTGCTGCGCCATGTGGGAATCTCCCTGGCCGGCCAGGAGTCTGATTCGTGCTGCAGAGGCCTCGGGCAGCTTCACAGTGCAGCGATCAACCCGCTGCGCCACTGGGGAGGCCCACTCTGTTCATTTTAGTTAAGATTTTTATGTGATCTATTTCACATTTTTATTTGATCACAAACTAAAAAAAAAAAAAAAAAAAAAAAAACTGGAAAAAAACCATAGGGAATTCGAGAGAACACACAAAAGTATTATAGGGAAAAAAATACAACAATTCAAATAATGAACTAGAAAATAATTTAAATAGTAACAGAAGCCTTTGTCAAAAGAACTATTCCTAAGCGACAGACATTTGAATGAATTTAGGCCAACAAAAAAGGAAAAAGAATATTTCATGTGTATTAAAATAACGTGCCTTTGAACATGTCTAAAACCTTCCCAAAATATACTTAAGCAAACCATAAAAATAATTTGTACGACTATGCACAAATACAAAAGTAAATATTTGTATATGTATTTGATCACCATGTACAATCACAGTCTGATACCTCTATTACAGTAAAACTTGCTTTATTAAGAAATATCCAACCTTGTTTTATTATAATAATAATTCAAAATGTGAAATGAGTCCTCTAAGAATAAACACAGTATTTCAATTTAGGAATTGAGACATATAACATTTACCAATCTGGACCAAGATATAACTACCTGTCATGTGCTTTTCAAATATATAGGCATTGGTGAAATGTTGTAGAGTAGTTCAGTTGCATCATCTATACTCCTTTTCCCTATTGTTGTCTACTTGGGATCAGCTGCTTCATGTTACCTATAATTTCATGCCTACCTTCTAAATACCATTCACAAACAGGGAAAGTTTTCTAAGAGTTATCTTTTTATTGGAAGTAGGTAGCTAGTGATGTCATAAATAATCTACTTAGTATTTATCTGAATTCAATTTCTTTTTTTTTTTGTCTGAATTCAATTTCAATGAAGTAAAATGTTTCAAGATAGGGAGGGTCAATTTTAGACAAAAATGAAAATGAGTATCTTACCCACATGCAGGCCTCAGTTCTAACTTTTGAGATGATGCTCCACAAAGAAATGGCTCCTTCAGTGCTTTCTTCATTTGGACAAATAATCTGATCAGGATAGGGTGGTTCAGGGAAATTAACTGAATTGCATTCATAAGCAGCTAATGTAACTGAAGCTATATGTGGACCCTATAAAACAAATGAGAAACTTTTGATGAGAAAGGAATTATCAATATAGTTATTTTCACAGTACCTGAATTCTACATTAATAGAAAAATGTTAGCTTTTAAAGAATGATACAACAAAATATTTCAAGATGCAATTAGAAATTTGATTTAAAAAAACCCTTCCCAGAATCTCCTGTCTGCTTTAAAAAAAAATTCAGATTTATTGAGGCATAATTTACGCTAAGAATCACTTTTTTTAGGTCTAGAGTTCAATGAGGTATGACGAATGTATTCAGCCTTATAACTTCAACCAATGAAAATACAGGCCATTTCTATCACCACAAAAAGTTCCCTTGTGCCCTTTTGTAGTAATTTCCTTTGCCCAACACCAGCCTCTGGAAACCATAAGATTTCTAGCTTGATTCTTATTTTATTTAGCCCTATTTCTCATTCGTAATTATATCATTCCCTGTGATAAAAACTCGGTGTCCGTTATTCCTTTAGGTTTGATTTAAGAATACCACTTTTGCCCTTCCTTAAAAACAGTTAATGAATTAACCTTATTTCTCCCACTGAGATTCTGAAACAAAAATAAAACTGTGGAACCAGTACCAGGGAGTTTGCTCTTAAAGCTGTTTTTTTTATGGAAGGCTTTGTGCTGCTTTGTACCTTTATTTTGAAAATATTACAATTTAATAATAATCACACATTAAAGAAGATTAAAATTTATATATGTAATAAAGGTTTATACACAGTGCACATTATGCCAACATGGAAGGGAGGGGTCTGTATAAGAATATACTCAGAAGAGAATTTGTTAAAAGTATAAATTCCTGGGTCCCCAACACAGGTTGATTCAATAGGTAGAGGTGGAAAACTGTGTTTTAAACATGCTCCTTCAGTTTCAAATAACTTAGGTCATAATAGACTAGGTTAAGAATCAATGGGAAGGCCCCCTTAGTGGCTCAAGGGGTAAAGAGGCAGCTATATGACGCTATCTGCAGCCACTGCAGCATGAGTTCGATCCCTGCCAGGGAGGTGACTCACATGGCGCAGCAGACCTCTCCTAACTCACCCATTGTTCCCCTCAACAGTGTATTTCAGTCAGTTCCCCTGTTCTGCTCCCACTCTGTCTCTGGTGAATCCTTCACCCCCTGCACCTCTGGCCTGTACCCGAGTTCTTGTATGCATAAATAAATAAATCTTTAAAAAAAGTCAAAGGGAGAATGCTAAAGTTTATGACCCTTTTCTATGGGGACACCCTGATATAAAAGGATCATAAAAAAGGCAATCTCAGCCAAGTTACTTAACTTTCTGGGCCTCAGTTAAACTCATGGTTTTATTTTGCACAAAGTTCAAAAACTCCAAATATAACTAAATGTCAGTAAAACATAATGCCAATTTCCAAAATTCTCATGAGGTGTGAGAGCTGAAATTTGGACATTCTTAATATGCTGCTCTAACACATACGATAAATATTCATTTAAATACATCCTGTAGGGGCCTCCCGGTTGGCGCAGCAGTTGAGCACTGGGTTGTGAAACTGCCCGAAGCCCCCGGAGGAGGGTCCCACATGGCACGCAGACCTCTCCTGCCGCCCGCTGCTCCCCTCAGCAGTGTACTTTGGTCCTTCTGCCTGCTCTGCTCCCCGCTCTGGTTCTGGTGAATTTTCTCACCCTCCCACACTTCTGACTGTACCCAGTGCTTGTATAAATAAATAAATAAATCTTTAAAAAAAAAAATACATCCTGCAGACAAAATTTATCAGAGAGTGATAAGCCATAAGTATAACTTCTAGAGCACATTTGTTCTGATTCAGGTTCTGGCCTTTGCCACTTAACTTCTGAGTCTTACTTTCCTCTTCGGTAAAATGGGAATAATAAAATACCCTCAGGGCCTACATTCTGGGGATATTGTGAAGTTTAAATTAGTTTATATTAAGTGCTTAGCATCTAGTGTAAGTCCTCAAGAAGTACTAGTTACTAGCTGCATAGAAAAAGATTTCATTTGTAGGATAAAATTATACAGTTAATGTATAAAATTATACAGTTACTAGTTGTATAGAAAAAGATTTTATTTGTAGGGCCTCCCTGGTGGCGCAGCGGTTGAGTGCTGGGTTGCAAAGCTGCCTGCGGCCTCTGCGGCGCCGGTTCGATCCCCAGCCACCGGAGGAGGGTCCCACATGGTGCGCAGACCTCTCCTGCCGCCCGCTGCTGCCCTCAGCAGTGTACCTCGGTCCTTCTGCCTGCTCTGCTCCCCGCTCTGGCTCTGGTGAATTCTCTCACCCTCCCTCGCTTCTGACTGTACCCAGTGCATGTATAAACAAACAAACAAACAAACAAATAAATAAATAAAAACATGCCTCTATAAAAAAAAAAATTAAAAAAAAAAAAGATTTTATTTGTAGGATAAAATTATACATACAACAAATGTTTTTTACATATAAATCTTTTAAAATCACATATTGAAAATCTGTAGTTCAAAGATAAAGTGCATAAGATGCAGTGATGAAAGCAAAATATTAATAACCATTGCTATCAAGATAAATGGTGATACAAAACATATTTTGTTACATGTTAATATGAAAGATACTCATAAATCTAAGCTATATTTCTCCCAAAATGTGACAGGCATTTTGTGCTCAAATAAAATCTAAGAAATGAAATTCTGTACTTGGCCCTGAATCAATTATTAGGTTTTTAAAAAAAAAAATTAATTAATAAAAAATAATATTATTAGGTTTCTTCTGGACAGATGAGTCTATACAAATTGTATACTTACATTTATCAGGTACAATTAAAAATATTTGAAACCACATGTAATATTCGAAACCACAAAATGAAAATGTGGTATAAATAAAACAGAAGAAATTCAACAGTTTGTCTATGATATAAACACATAGCTGTCCCCCTATCGGCTATAGGGACACTCTACCCCTGAGCTCTCGAAGCAAATTCTAAGTGAACAAAAATCAAACTGTTTTGGGTCCGAAATAATGAGATTTCTGATATGCACAAAATAGGAAAAAACTACATTTCTATTCCAGAAATACAGACATGCACCCATTAGCTTAATTATTCAACATGATAAAAGACTTATTCTTATTCACAGTTTTAATTGTTTTTTTTTGTTTTTTTTTTTTTTTCAATAGCTGAAATTACTCTTTATTTATTTATTTATTTTTTTTAATCACCACAGAATAGGTTTATTCAGGTAATAATGATACATATTCCTTAGAAATTATATTGAAAATAGAACTTGGATGTTGATTGAACATCTCATTTAATTCATATTCAGCGAATAACTCAAGTATTTATATGTGTTGGACTCTGATGTAATATATGTTTAAAGGGGTACAATGTCACAAAGTCAGAATATTTTGTGAAGAAAAAAAATAGTCTCTTCGGAAAGTGAAATTTTCTTAGGCTGTGAATGGAAATAATATGCATGGTTCAGTGGCTCAAATCTGCTGGAAAATATTTATCTTTTTCCCTCTTTTTTTTTTTTGTCATTTCAATTTCCTTTTTTTTTTTCTTAATATTAAATTTTATTTTTATATTCCCCCATACAATTGCAAACGCCCCATTCTGACCCCAATCCTTCCCCTCCCGCCCCCCACCCCCCAAAAAGTGTCTCTGGTTCATAGTTTTTTGTTGATTTTGATTTTCACTTTCTTATATTCATTTTCCTGGTCCCTTATTTAAGTTTTCTAGATTCCTGCTATGAGTGAGACCATCCGGTATTTTTCTTTTTCTTTTTGGCTTATTTCGCTGAGCAGCATTCAAAAAAGATAAACACATGCAATTTGCAGCAACATGGATGGCGCTGGAAGGGATCATGTTCACAGTTTTAATTGTAACTGATTCTTAAAAAGGAAATTTTCAGCACTCTGATGAGAATTTTTTCCCTAAAGAAAGGACTGTTCGAAAACACAACTGATACATACTTTCCATAACCACACTAATAAGTCATAATTACTCAGCCTTAAAGGCAGATGTGGTGGTTCCCAGACAGAATGAACATGAATAACTCAGCTTCTTGTTCTTTGTTCATTTTCAAAGAGTCCCTTTAACCTGTACCTTGACATTTTAGTTTAAACTCTGGTTAATGATAGGAAACCTCACAAGTTCTTTTCAATGTTATAGGTTAATATTAACCTAAATATAATTCACTTGTCTAAAATAAATATTAGTTTATATGAAAATTCCCAACACAAAAAGTAAAAAAAAAAAATAATTCTGATTAGAAGAATTTAAAGTTATAGTCATTTTAAGAGTGTTTTTTAAAAACTATGAATTGTACCACATCTATCAAACAGGGAGAAGTCCATTTTAAAAATATTAAATGAAGAAATACGGGATAAAGACAAACAGCTATGGTGTAAACAGAAAAAAGTGTGAACTACCATAAAACATAAGAATGTACTGAGTAGGCTCCAACTCTATGGGGTCATGGCTGGTATTAATATGTGTATACCTAAAGATCCTGGCCTATGAATGAAGTTCTACCTCAGATCATGAAGTAACTGGTAACTAACTACAAAATTGGCAATATATACAGAACAATTATTTTCAGACATTGTACCACAGGAATTATAGGACTTCTAGAAATATGCATGGGCATCCCCTTTAGACTTTGGCAAACAAAGTTGCATGTAGGTAACGATAAGCTATCGTGTCCTTGAATTCACACAGGGCTAGAACATTTTAGTTTCAGCCAGTTATATTACAGATTCAGCACTCATGGAAGACGCTGAAAAGAGCCTAGACTACAATCTATTCTTGAAAGGCCATAACAGGTATTTTTTAAGTCTTAGATTAAGCTGATTCACAGGTAACTGTCTACTAAAACAAAGAAAACTGATGCTCTATAAGGAAAGACAACAAAATTTTAACAGTTAACAATTTAATACCCAACATAAAATAACTAGGTATATGAAGCAGGAAAATATGGCCTAGCCCGAAGAAACTAAATTACTCAATAGAGACAAACTTAGAAATGCCAGAGACAGTGGAATTAGCA